GCAATCGTCGCATCACTCATCTTTTTGCACATTCCATTTTTTTATATCCATTTTATTTTCTTTACTGCTGTTTGAAATTCTAGCCCTCAATGTTGAGATCACTAGGCAATGATGCAAGTCTAGGTTTGCGCCTCTATAATGTTCTGCAGTTTATTACGTCTGTTTCATGCCTTGAAGCTATTTAGATGTCATCAATCCCACTCGTTGTTCTTTCATCAGAATAGGTCCAAGTTACCTTGTATATGTTCTTATGTTCAAAATTGGTGATAGTGACTGTCATATTGAGTAACTACGTCTTTAAGTTTATCAGTCGTAATACATTAACGCTAGTGATGTTGTGTGTGGCTATGCTTTCCTATCGTGGACATGAAAACTCGCTCACATCCTATTCTTGCATTCATGTCACCTAATACAATATTAATGTCATTTCTGGGACATTTCCTGTAGGCTTGCTTTAGGTCTTCGAAGAACTGTTCTTTTATTTCTTCTGGTTTGTCATTAGTTGGGGCACGTGCATTGATCAAACTGTGAATAAAGATTTTCCCTTTAAAGCGCAAATAGCATATTCTTTGACTGTCAATAACAAGGCCTTTTGTTCTTCGCTTTACAATTAATTCACACCCCATCTATGTGTTGGCTTTTATTGTAGCTGTAATATATGAAATGAGTTTTCTTGTCAAGAGTGCCAGTTCCTGTCCACCGCACTTCCTGCAGTGCTAAAACATTTACTTTGTACGTGTTCACTACGTCTAGTAAAGATGTGAGTGCTCCAGCTCAGTACGGGGTTCATATATTTTATGTTCCTAATCTTAATTCCATTTTTCATTTGCAGAGTCGTCGTCGTGAGTTCTGTCGAGCTAATAGTTTCTGAGGTTCCGTAACATTTTTTTTTGTCATGGATGCGTAATATGTCATGTCAAAAAGATATCATAGCTGCGTAATATTCGCCAATAGTCAGGAATCCACAGAACTTTAATCCTGGCTATCTAACATCTTACCTGACAAGATAATGTACAATAGACGCCTGCTCATGATATCTCAAGAAGAAGATATATAATCTATAAAATTTCATATCCTGGAAATCTGGACCCTTATTTGTTTTCCTTGAAGTGTTCATGTAACATGCGGATTTTGTCAAGATTTAGATAATTTCCATCTTTCGTATTAGTCATTCAAAATTAATTCCTTTCTTTAATTTTGTTAAATTTGAAATATTAATAATGTGTTTATTATAATTCTAGAAATCATCTTCACGTTGTTTTACTCAAAGTTATATTTAACGTTATAAACTATATGCATAAATCAATATAGTGGAATAAAATACTTGTATATAAGGTTTATGACATGTAATTGTATTTGCATTAATTAGTGAGTCACCCTTACCAATTAAATTCGATATGCATAAACAATGTCCCCACGACAATTATAAATGTCATTCCTAATGAGGCTTCGTTTGTGGTGGTAATTAGCATCAATAAGACGTTGGAAGCAGATGCAAGCTTAAATAATTACTATTTTGTATGTGATATTACTATGTTCTTGATATAAGTTTGGCTTGAAAATATTTATTACGTGTAATTTATTTGTGCTATTAAGGAAAATTTAATTAAGAGTATTAAGAGTAATTTATAGAAAAGTCAGGTGTGTTTTCTGTTTAAAGCATAATATTAATAGCCTTAATCTAATCTACAATTTTTGATGTACAAATCTTAAAGACTATCTACTAACCTAAGAATTTTCCATTGATCTCCCAAATATTGTATCTAATAAATGCCAATTCCAATATTCATGCCACAACCTAGTTGTGGAATGTTTTTTACCCATTACGTGTTACTAAAGCACCAATTCCAATGATTTATTTTTGTTGTGCACTTTTATCTTACTGCATTTATTAAAGTAGGGCTTCGCAAGTAGCCCGCATCTAATGTAGTCGAAAACTGGAGTTGTACACGCTATGTGCGTGTGATATAGTAAGAAGCCTTATATGTTGATGTTCCATCGGAAGCATGTTGGAACCAGCTAATTGAGAGTTTCACTATGAAAGTAGGTATTGTCAACAATCATCGAGCGGTGCATCTCAAAATACCTAAAACACTTGTTGTTCTTGACAGCGTGTCCCCTATGCGCTGATTCGTTAGAGCGCAGATGTCCATCTGTTGTCGGTCTGGGGTCTTATCTAGAATTTGATGTGATGCTGTTTCAGCAAATGCCCCAAAGCGTAAAAGTTTGTTTACTAGGTCGAAGGTGTGGCACTCGAAGCAGTGGTTACAATGAAAGAGTAATCAAAAGGAAGGATGAATAAGAAGAAATTAAGCAAATTACACTCTGAATATAATAAGAGGAACTGGATGAAATCCTACAAAAATATAAGCAGTGATGTTACACGGACGGCGTACACTGGGAGAATTAGAGATCATTGTAGAGATGGTACATATTCTAAAGAATTAGACTGTGCGTTAGCTTGGGTTAATTCAACAGCAAAATCTCAGGATTGTCGAGAACATTGTTAAGGGAGAAAGAACGGTATTTGACGTCCTAGGTAGACTTATGTCGAATTTTGCTCGGATTCGATATTTTATATGAAGTGCAGAAATAGAAGGAGGTTTTTGGAAATCAAAAATACCTTTTTAAAAATTGGGAAAGTCCAGTACAATAAAAGCACTCTTAAGGAATTGTAATGGTTACCGGACAATATCAACAGATGCAGTGGCAGTACTATACGGGGTACAGATCTAATAAATAAGGAGCAGATGAATATTAGGAGACAAAAGGACTAGAGGGAGACCGAAGCCCTAAAGAGAGGGTGAATGCTGAAATTCTTCTACTTCTTCTTCTTCAAGTGCCCTGTCCGTTGCGAACGTTGGCTATTAACATGGCAATTTTGATCTTGTTTGCGGCGCTTCTGAATAGTTCGACCGATGTGAGCCCGAACCACTTCCGCAGATTTTGGAGCCACGAGTGTCTTCTCCTGCCTGGCCCTCGCTTACTGTCTATTTTTCCCTGGACAATCAATTGTAGCAGACGGTACTTATCGTGTCTCAATATGTGGCCTAGATATTCAAGCTTTCTTTGTTTAATTGTATTCACGATTTCTTTCTCCTTTCCGATTCTTTGGAGTACCTCTATGTTGGTGACATGTTCGGTCCAGGATATACGAAGAATGCGTCGGTACATCCACATTTCGAATGCTTCTAGTTTTCTCGTTAGCGTCTCCGTCAGCGTCCAGGCCTCCACGCCATACAGCAAGATCGGAAAAATGTAGCATTTAACTAGACGTAGTTTTAGGGGAAGAGACAAATCCTTGCTTATGAGGAGCTTTTTCATATTGCTAAATGCTGCTCTAGCTCGTTCTATTCTCGCCTTAATTTCTATGGTCTGTTCCCATTTTGCATTTACGTTGGTGCCAAGGTACACATAAGATTCTACATGGTCAATTAGTATGTTACTTATCCGTAATTGTCGAGCAGGTTGTTGCTTTTTGCTTATCAGCATCCACTTTGTCTTCTTGAAGTTGAGGCTCAGGCCGTATTCCTCACTAACTGAATAAAGTCTTTCCATTACTTGTTGTAATTCGTCTATGGTACTGGCAAGGATCACCGTGTCGTGCTGAATGCTGAAATTGCAAACTAGAATCGGCGCCTAATAACAAATCTTAAGATGTGCATGGTCCGCAAACATCGGAAGGCCAGATATTATATGCCAAAATTATTTAAAAGACATGGTTGTTTTGGTTTCTCCCTGAAACCTGTTAACAAGTAGGCAACTAATATTTGTTTATTCTAAGTGTTTATTGTACAAAAGAGTATGAAGACACTGCAAGCATACTATTTTTATATGTAATGGTTGGATAAGACGAAGACAGCAACGCGAGAGAGGCTTAGGTAAGAGGATCATATTAGAGATGCTTACTTAATGCTGCTTAGTGAGAAAGATTAGAACCTTATAAATGGTATACTATGGTGATAAAAGAGAACAGAAAACTCAAGACGGAAGGAAAGTGAAACAACTTTATCTGGTATAGAAAGTCTTATAGAGAAAGCGAGAGAACTGTAGAAAGAATTATGTAGTTTATAAGGGAGCTAAATAGTGTATACGCAATGAAAAGTACGTATGGAAATGCAAAGAAAATAGCGCATTACTATATCACATAGGTTTCGCACCATGTAATTCGCAACAGCTGGAGATTTATAATAGGCAGAAGTTCAACACCACCTCCCGGTGGTGTATCACAATACACATTGTGCCTTTTAAATACTATAAAAGGCTTATTAAAAAAACTTAAAAAATAGATAGAAAATAACTACAACAAAAGAAAGTCAATAGCATAAAAACGCTAAACGCTACTAGACATACAAGAATACTAACTGTTAGGATACCAAAACATACACTAGAATAGTGCATTTCGTCGGTTAAGAGTGTAAATCTGCTAAGTCCACGTTTTGGACCTTTTGTGATTTTTGCTTAGTCAAAATGTAGATAAGATTTCGCATTATATAGTAAAATCTGATAACTCCGCTTTACTTATGTTTTCGTACAATTTGGTCGCAAGAAATTATGCTTTATACTGTCGCCAAAAACGTTAAGTGTAATTCTGACAAGTCCGTTGTTACTTAGTCATGGTAAATCGATGCCGTACAGACAGAAGTTAGTGCAATAGTAAGGTTACAGCCATATTTTATCAAATTTATTAATTCAAAACAGCGTTCGTCGGTGTAAAATACTGAAACGTCAGTATTTCTTTTATAAAATAAAATAATATGAATATTACTGTGATTTTTCTGTTATTTTACTGGTTTTGAACCACACGTGTTTGTGCATGGACTTGGCAGCTTTTATTATTTATTAATTTCTTATGATCAGAAAATGCATGGACTTCGATAGTTTGTTTTCTATCTACTAGCTATACATTTTTTTTGAGTGAATCATAATAATATTGTTATAGTAGTTTTAAAATAAATAAACAGAGTTTTCATTTGGTTATAGATGTCTCGTGGAAAAAAATGGTCGATTTGGTTACTGCTCTTCAAAATGATATTGTCATCAATGAAGAATTTCAAGCTCATTCTCCTCTATTGTCAAATTCTACATTTATTGTCGTAGAAAATGTTGTAATAAAAGAAGTTTGTAATGAGTTTTTTAATGCAAAATCTAGTAATAGTGACGAGACCTCAATAATAGAAGAAAACACATTAGTAGCTGATTCTAATGTTATCGGCAGTGATACGAGTTCATCGCATCAGGATACAACTGAGATTGAGAAAAACTTACGTATCAGTGACAGTGAAGATGAAAGTCCATTAAAACTGGTTCCATATTCAGATAGTTCTGATAGTGATTGCTTATTTGAAGGATATCCAACAAAAAGCCAAAAGAGAAGAAAAAGGTTTCAAGTAGATAAAGAAAATTGGGTTTCACAACAAAATCTTAAACTTAGGGAACATGGATCTCCATACCTAGGTCAAGGTCTTAAAAACGGTAAATGGACGTATAATATAAAAAGAGAACCACGTACATAAACCGAGGTGCTCCTGTAAAAAAGTACTGACCAAATGAAGTGCACATTAATTTCAGAAACAGCTCGAAGAAGTATTTTGGATCATTTCTGGAGTTTGGAATGGGGAGCCAAAAAAACACTAATTGATAGTGTTGTGTCATTTTTACCAATCAACAAATCAAGAAATAGAAAAAAGATGGATTTTGTTCCATTTGGAATTAGACGAAAGGTAATATTTCTGCAGAAGAGTTTGCCACCATATTTTCCGACTTTATCACCAACAAAATTTTGCCTACATTTGATCGAACTACTGATTACGGAGACACAAAACTAAATTTGTATAGCGATGGCTGTAACTACTAAGGTAGAAACGTAACTGTTTCAAACGCCTTACTGAATACAGTGACAGGACAACCTAAGAAAGACTTAGAAGTTGGACACGCCCAAATGGAGGCAGACTCCATGCACTCCACAATCACAGAATGGTGTTTAAAGAGCAAAAAAAAATAAACGTGCCAGCAGATTACGTGGGAATATGTCTATCTGCCCGAAAGATTCCAAAAAAATATAATGTAACTTATTTAAATCATACATTCATTTAAATCATAAGTCAATGAAGAAACTTGAGTTTATGAAAAGTATCCGTCCCGGTAGAAAAGTGACCCAAAAGTACGTCTTCACAAGTGTTTATTTTATTTAAATTCTTTATTATGTAATTATTTTAGGTTGTAAATGTTGTGCGGTAAGATATAATGCAAACGGCTAAATTGATTATAAATTACGGTTTGGCGATGATTGGAAAATATTACCTCAGAGGATCAGCTCCGGAATTGTACCTTGTTCATTACATAACTAGACCAATTTTATTCTAAAAGACTAAACATTTCAAGTAGGAAGTAAAATGACCTAATGGATTTAAAACATATTTTACCTAATGAATATCATACTTTCTACGATGATCTATCTCATGAATAATATTATGTAAAACAATAACTACATATTTAAAATGATTTCTAATATAGCACTTTGTATACTTGCTTATATTTTTTTTTATCAAGTCCAAAAGATTTAATATTACATATTAGGAAATTTTGCTAACTCCTAAAAAGTGTAAATAAACATTAATTGCGTTGATAAAATCGGTTTATGGATGTATACATATATTACATACTTGGAATTATATTTGATGTTGTAGATATTGCTAATTAATCGAACAATGATTGTTCATTGCTGCTGCAGTTTTTATGCTCTCCTGTAAAATCTGTTATAATGGATTGACACTCTTAACCAATGATTTGATAAATATTAAATCTTCAAACATGCTTAAAGCAATTAACTTTGAAGGAACAAATGATTTTGAATTGAAATAAGATATTGATAAAATACTTAAAGAAGAGGTTATCAATAAAAAAAAATCAATATTAATGAGAACAGCATATCAAGGACACATTATTTACGATTTAAGAAATAATAATTGTACAATACCATAATTAAAAATACATAAAACGAACGAAATTTGGTGACAATATAGGAGTACAATAACATAATTCAATAGCGTTATCTCCAGAAGTGTAGAACATGATTAATGCCTTAAAGATTAAGATAAAGTAAGTCTAAACTATTAAAGGTAATTTAACGCCTAGTCACAAGTAGAAACGAGGAACGAGGGAAGCACTTCTAAGTTTGCAAGTTTTAATACAGAGAGCTAGAGATGTCAACTGCGTTGATTCATTGATTTCAAAAAGGCATTTGATAAAGTCCCACATGGGAAACTAACCGATATCCTTAAAACATCAGAACTCGATCGTAAGGATGTAACACTGATCTCAAACTTATATCTCCAACAAAAAGCAAGAATGCGATTAGAAAATGAACTGTCCGAGATCTTCACAGACGAAGAAAAAGTTAGACAGGGTTGCATATTGTCACCGGGATTATTTAACATATACTTTGAAAACATCTTTAGAGAGGCCTTGGACCAATCAGAAGATGGGATTGCGGTAAATGGCCAACTTCTAAATAATATTAGACTTGCAGACGATACAATGTTGCTGGCAGATAGTGCGCAGGAGGTCCAAAGGATGATGGATAACGTTGTAGAAATATGTAACAAATACAGTAAATTGCAAGAAGACAAAAATAATGATCATTAGTAAGAACACCAAACATAAACGCCCAAATTACAATAGGCGATGCACCTTTAGAATAAAGTGGAACAAATATGCTATTCGGGCTGAAATATTAAAGATACTTGGGATCACAGCTACGAAATAAAAACTCGTATTGAAAACAGGCTGAGGAAGATTCTCTGCAACTTATCTGTAAGTATCAATATACGCATAAGAATTCTTAGATGTTAGTCTTTAGTGTCCTCCTCTATGGAATAGAAAGCTGGAACCTTACAGAAGATGTCATAGAAACGATTAGAGACATTTAAAATGCTACCGACGTATGTTGAGAGTCTCATATATATATATATATATATATATATTATATATATAATATATATATATATATATACCATACACGTAACATAACTATTCTTCAGAGGCTAACAAAAGGCAAAGAAATTATTAACACCCTAAAGAACAGAAAATTGGTTTATTTCGGTCACAATATGACTACTAAACAAATTCTACAGTTGATTCTACAAGGCAAGATTGAGGGTAAGAGAGGTCCTGGACGTAGACGTATATCCTGGCTGGCCAATCTTAGGAAATGGACTGGTCTAACGTCAAATGATCTATTTCGAGCTGCTGTGAATAGAATAAGATGGGTCAATGTGGTCGCCTACTTATCTAGAAGACAGACATATTTAGAAGAAAAAGACAAGTAGAATATTTTAAACGTTATGTCAATATATTTTTTTAATGTTTGAACAATTTTTTGATTGGAAGTTAAAATGTTACAAAAACTTTAATTTACAAAAATATTCTCTGTGAAGGGTATGATAAAAAAATAGTTTCATTACATTAAAAAATTTCATTATGTAAATAATTATTAGCTTTTTAGTTGTTTTTTTAATTTTATTTATTAAACTAGAAAGTCTCTTTTAAAATTATTTACATCAAAAAATACAAATTGATTAAATGACCTAAACGATCCGATTTTCTTACAAAAAAATATGAATTTCCAACGAGTTTTCCAGAAAATTTGATAGTTAATTGTTATGCGCAAAATTTCTTTTGTTTTCTTCTCAAGGTATAAAAAAAACTAATTGCTCGAGAATTACCAACTAATCTCTTCTTGGTGGTCCGTTTTATGCCCAGTTAATTTGACCAGAGTAAATTGCCGACAGTCTGTGAGAATAGGCTTATAATTTTTCTTGAGAAACCGGGAAAATCGCCCAATTTATGCTGATGTATGAGCTCAATTCATCTGTAGAGAAAAGTTTGCTGCTGGCATGTTTTGTTCCCGTCTAAACGGCACTGGATGAATGGATTGTAAAATGGCTCAATTCCGGAATAGTTGGATTTATTAAACGGGACGAAAGGAGCGTGTTTCAATAGTGTGTACTCCGCTGCGAAATGGAAGTGGAGAATGGACAAGTGCCTTTTAATTTTTCAAAATTAAACTTGGTTAAATTTAAACCGTAGCGTTTCTGCTCGTTTGTTTTTTCTCTATTTTTGCTGCGGGTGCCTAACGTGTTTAAAATTACTTTATTTTTCGCACTCAAAAATAATTTATACATTCCCCATGTTTCGCCTAACCCTATCGACACGAATTATATTTTGAATAGTATCAATATATCCTCGTTTTATTTTTGGTTTAAATTTTTTAACACGTTTAGTGCCAGTATTGATAGGTTTTTATTGTGTACCACACTTTAAAAGCCATGCATTAATCTGATGTTGCTATGCTGTAGTAGTTTTTAATAATTTCTACCCATATGCGTTATGATTTTATTTACTCGATCTATTTACGATTTTTTTATTTTAATCTCCAGCAAAAAGTCTTCTATAAAATGATTCATCATCATCATCATCAACTAGCCTCTAACGTCCACTGTGAACATAGGCCTCTCGCATGCTTTTCCACTTAGTCCGATTTTGCGCCATCTGAATCCAATTTGTAGTCACTCTTTTTATGTCATCTGTCCATCTCGTTGGGGGTCGACCTCTATTTCTGTTAGCTTGTATTCGGGGTCTCCATTCCAAAATTCTTTTTGTCCACCGGTCATCAACTGATCTTGCTACATGACCTGCCCAGTTCCACTTTAGTGTTGTTATCCTTTCAATAACCTCTGCTACTCCCGATCTTTTACGTATAGTAGCATTGGGTATTATATCACGTAGAAAAATTTTATGCTAATTTTATATATATATATATATATATATATATATATATATATATATATATATATATATATATATATATATATATATATAATATATTATATCCGGTTTTTTAGGCGTTACGCCCGTCCGGTAGGGATCTATGGAGGAGTATCACCGAGCCGCAAGCCCTTATCTCTTGTCATACTGCTCCATCATAGGCCGATCAGAACCCAGCATATCCTAGTCTAAGCCGCAGATTCATCTAGAATTTTAAACTGCTGTGTTAGACTTTTTGTTTTCTGTACACCGAGCTGGGGCTCGACCCACATCCACTAAACCATTCGACAGTGAAGCGAATGAGAGGCAGCCGCACAGCCCGCTGAGCTATCTGACCGACTTATGCTAATTTTATTCTGAAGATAATGATTAGAGATAAGATAATCTAGCGTTGTGGAGCTTTTATCGATACTAATCTAGTTTATGTGATGAACATCCTTACCTCGTTTGCGGTTGGTAGATCCACCATCAGGTGATTCCCCACGTGGCAAATAGGGGAATGCCTCCCAGATATGGGTGTTAACGAGGAAATGAAATACTAGGGGTGGACCAAAACTGGCAAATGGAAATAGGAAACAGCATTTTCAATACTGTGTTAAGGTGAAACTTGGGTCACTCTGCAAGGTCAATCAGGAAACATAATAAGAACCCAAATTGATTACATAATGGTAAACAAGAATGTTCGTAACGGATTCCTATCAGTTAAAAATTACCCCGGTGCTGTCGTATCGTCAGATCATATTCTTGTTATTGATCAATTTAGGTTTAGATTTAAAAAAGGTTATAAAATTGAAAAATAACAAAAATGTGATATGAGAAGACTAACAGATAGGGAAACAAATAAGACAGTCACACGGATTCTTTCAGAAAAGCTAAGTAACATGGAGCAAACATATGATCCAGAAGAATCACTTCAGAATATATGTAAAACTTTTAACAAGTTCAGAGAACAATATCTAATAGAAAATAAAGAGAAGAGGAAAAGTTGGATGAATGACAATATACTTCAACTCATGGAAGAAGAAAGAAAATCAAAGAATAACAAAAAAATGTACAAAATATTCAGAGACAAATCGGAACCAAAATACGAAACGCCACAGAAAATTAGTTGAAAATACAGTGTGAAGAGATAGGGTTATTGGAATAAAAACGTGATACATTTAATATGTTTTGTAGTAATAACTATGTAGTCAGATATACAAAGGCCAATAGACTCAGATGATCAGGGCATGTGATACACAGGAACGACAATCACCTTATAAACAATGTGTTCTGGGAAAGGCCAGATGGAAGAAGGTCTGTAGGGCGGCCTAGAAAAAGGTGAATAGATGCAGGTACAGAAGATCTACAAGAAGAATTACTGGCACAGGACCGACAAAAATCGAATGCAATTGTAAATGCGGCAAAGACTAACGAAGAGTTGTAGCGCCATTGATGATGACATTTAATATGCATAAAAAGGTAAAACACGCAGCTAGTCTTTAAAAATCCAACACAGCTCGCAAACTGCAAGATCAACAGGAGAACATCATCACAGATAAAAATCAAGAAATATCCATATGTATACATATATATATATATATATATATATATATATATATATATATATATATATATATATATATATATATATATATCCCCTTATCATACGAAAGCTCTTCTTTATTATATCAAAGGTGTCACTGACAAAATCGACAAAATTCTTAAACCAAGATGAATAAAAACAATATTTACCCCCCAACAAAAACTTTCATCTCGTGTCCGATGATCAATCAAAGATAAAGAAATATTAAAAATGAACAGCACGGAGTTTATGAAATTCCTTGTGCAGACTGTTTCCGATCTTATATAGGCCAAGCAAATCGTAGAATCCAAAATAGGATTTATGAACATTCCATTTCTGTTCGCAATTCTGATTCAATTTCAGCTCTCGGTCAACACCATCTTTCTACAGGTCACAAAATTAATTTTAATAAAAGTCTCAAGAGACCTGTACTTTTAAGTAAAAGTACAGGTCTCTTTTAATAAAAGAGATGACGCCATACGGTTACCTTCTATATGGGGACCCATGTAAACCCAAAAATAGTACCCATTTAAAGATAATTTTTGACTCTCTAGTTTTGTAATAGAGTTTATAATTATGTCAAAATTTGCTTTTATATAGGACAGTTCATTCTCAACAGAATTCTTACTAAAAATATTTTGACATTTCTGAACAGCAATACAACAAGAAGGATGAAAATTTGATATACCATTTTTGATATCAATATAATTATTTGCAAGAAATATGGCACTATTCAACCACGTCCCCCATCTAGTCAACACTGATTCCGGTGGCAAAGGGATATCGGGAAGCATCTCCCTATATACTTCTACCCGCAATGGTGGAGAGTCGTTTTCAGGTGTTGGAAAATTTGGAATTTTTTTTCACGTGGAATCTGTAATATAAAGGTTTAGTAAAAAGGAGTCTAATGCAATAATTTGGACTTCAAATTTTTAAGATTTTTTTTAAGACTTTTTTTAAGACTTACATTTTTTTTCTCGAAACGAAAACTACCGCCAATAGTCAAACTTTTACATGTTTAGTATAGGTATACCGATTTTCCTGCAAAAATAAGATTTTAAATTAAATTTTTGAATCATTAAAATATAAGTGGACTCACCTTTTTATTACAAATAGTACAGAACACACTTTCATTGTCTATAATCTTCATTTCAGTGTTGCCACCAATCCAACTCCGCAATAGACTTGATTTTTGTTTCGCGTCTTTCGGCATATTTTCAAAAAAGAAATTATTTTTATTTTATAAGCACAATATTCACAATCACAAGTTGCTTTGCCATATGGTAAAGAGAATTTAAAAACGAATTTACTGTATAATACCTACCTGCATGTTGGCCCTATTCTTCTGATAAATAATTCACAAATGGGTTTTCCCAAATAAAACTTGTAGATTTAGCAGATATTTGCAATAAAATTATTTCGTAGTTACCTTACCTAGTACCTGTTATGAATAATTCCACGAAACTATTATCTAAATATGTATAGAAATCAAAGAGCAAATTGCCACAAATATGTCGCAATATGATCTTAATCAAGTACATATGAATAGCATATGCATTTATAAAGAAACCCACAAATATACTACATATATATGCACATGCATTTTGCATATAATTCAGTCTCTACTTATAAGTTTCTGCTTTTTCCAAATTTGACTCAAACGCTGTACTTTTTGCTGATAGACGAAAAAAGCGAAAATTTACCGTTTTTTGACCTTAATTTGTTAATAATTATGTGAGTCAAAAAAATCGACTACAGGAAACATAAAGATTTATGTTACAGAAGTTCATACTACTTAAAACAACTGTCGTTTGCCTGGCCGTTTCAGTGTAACAAACAAGGTACTTTTTTTGCTTATTTCCCTGGTGTATTGTTGTTAGTTTTTAGTTGGTTCCGGTCAATATTTTCAAAAGTTGAGTGAAATGGGAAGACGACAAAAAACATAAATAAATCGAAACAGCAGTTAGCTTTAATTAAATTTTTTAAACTTTTAAGAATTTAATTTTATATAATAATTTTAGGTGTTCACAAATAAATAAAAAATCTTCTAGTTAAACAAAAATTATGAGGCGTTAATAAACTAAGTAAACTTTTGAAAGTTAATTGTGCTGTACAAATCTGTTCAGTAAAATCTGTGTACAAGTATTAATTATCCACAATAATTACCAGTATAAGTACACCTTGAATTAAGAAGTTTTCTTTGTTAAGATATACATAACCTACGCTGAAAGCGTTGTTCCATTAATTTAATATTAGTCACACCTCCTCTGCTTTGCTTTACTTAAAACTTTTGTAGAGTTTGGAAGCCGTACTCTATATAAACTTTCAATATAATTTACATAATCTTAAAGTTGCCTTGTGCACGACTATATTTAACGATTTAAAATGCGCTGGATGCTTTAAGTTGAAAGAGCTTTTTATGGGAGATGTAAAAGAATGATAAATTTACGCACAAGTAAAATTCATAGATATATTATATTCTTGTAAAACATAATATTTATTTAATGTGGATAAATAAATATTTGTCTTACCACAAATATTTTTGTTTAAGAACAGCATTTTATTGTTCTGTACTTTAGCCTTTTCCTACTTCTTTAGATGGCTGTATAATCCACCTTGTTCCTAAATCTCTCGAACTTGATGTCTTTAACATTGGTGATCATATGTTGCTTTTTTCAAGTTGTAATTTAATTACTATTAAACTGGGAATAAGCCACAATTATGGCTTATTCCCAGTTTAATAGTAATTAATTTACAATGCCACAAGAAAATAGCTTCAGAACAATTTCAAGTTGTAATGTTTATGAGAGATTGCGATTCTACTTTTATTTCACCTGTTAATTATTTACATGATTCCCTTTTTTCCGTTTCGAATGTTGGCAACCATCATGGTAATCTGTATTTTGCATACTGCTGCTCTGAAAACATTTGTGGTTGTTGTGTTAAAACACGTACGTAGATTTTTCAACCAGGAAATCCTTCACCTTCCTGGTCCACATTTTCATTCTACTTTTCTTGTAGAATTAATTACAGCAACCAATATATTTTGCTGTTCCTGATAATTTAACCGAGGTATTCGATTTTGGCTGTTTTTATTGTGGGTAACAACTCTTTTCCTTTTTGCATTATTTTATAATAAAACGTAATTTTAGTGCTTAATAACGTAGGTTGTATAAAATATCTTTAGGATTCAATAAAGCCAAATATTGATAGCCTCAATTTTCTTGCAGGTAGCATCCGTGAGAGTCCACTACTCAACTCCGTATAACAGAATAAGAAAGATATAATATCGTAGTAATACACTTATTCTTAAAATTTGCTGTTCGTTATTAGAGATCATCATACATTTTGCTTTCTTAATGTTTAGAGAAAGTCTATAGAGAGAGTCTGACTCACTTCTATAATTCTCTTCATTTACTCCTGGAGAGATTCGTAACTGTCAGCGAATACCACCTTGTTATCCGCATATCTAATGTTATTGATATTATGCCCAGCATATTAATACTAAAGTATTTTTTCACAATCTGTCATCATTCGTCTTATTAGAAGACTGTTACAAATTAGAAACCGGTGTGTAACAACAAAGCTGCAACTTGGATCATTAGGTGCCAATTCTGGAACATTAAAATGACACCTTCATTCTTTAACTACAACACAACACTTGAGATGCCAATTTTATTTTTAGGTCGTTGACTAGCTCAGGGGTCACCAAATGGCGGACCGCGGTCCGCATCCCGACCGTGACCTTGTTTTTTGTGGACCGCCATTAAATTCAAAATATAGTAAAAAATTTAAAGTGTAAAAGTAAAATTAAATCGAAATATATAAATATCTTTTCCTTTTTTAAAATGCACAGTACTAATACTAAATAGAAATATGTACTCGTAATTTAAACAACATGAAAGTTCGACTAAACGGTTTTCCAAAATTTCAGGTAGTATCTACCTAAAAATAATCTTTTACCAAACTACAATAGGGCAGCTATTAATATAAAATGTTGTGCAACTGTTAAGCAACAGTTTTTCACTCAAGCCTAATGGTGTATGGGCCAGCGAAGGAGCAGACGTTTTTAAGAGTAACAACGCTGCCCTTCAGCTGGAAATGATCGAGTATCAGGAAGATTTCGCTTTAAGAAAGGTTTATACTATAGTTCCAGAAACGCTTGGCTTGCACAAATTTTGGAATAAATATGTGTGTGACAAAAAACATCCAGAACTAAAATTTTTGGCAACGAAACTGTGTACTATTTTTGGCTCAACTTTTGTTGAGCTGTGATCAAAGCCGCTTTTCCAAAAATGAACTTTATTAAAAGTCGGTACAGACCTCGGTTGGCAGATGAACATCTCGGGTCCCTAATGAAAATCAGTAGAAATAACCTCACTCAGAATTTCAGACAGGTTGTATAAAATATAAAGTGTCATTTTTCTCACTCTAGTTTGATTTTGTAAGGAGTTTTACCTTTATTTTAAGACTTATTGTAGTCATTAATTTTAAATTTAATTAAACTAATGTATCCTTTCCTAAACGAAGAGGCCTAGTTGCCTGGTTTCAACTACGTAACAAAGATGATCTCCTGAGGGGGATTACAACTACTGGAGGGTTTTTGGGTAACCCACCCCGGTTACGCCACTGCCTGGTTTAGTGCTGAGTGTCCGGACTGCAGAAGTGTAGTAGGTTTTCGAAACGGACCTTTGGGGAACATATTTGGTGTCCCCTGGACTAGCTATTTCTCGCAGCTAATTGAATTTAGTAAATATAAAGAAATTAAATATTGAAGTTAGTAAACACCACTAAGATTCATATAATTGATGGGGTATTTAAAGATGGATAAACACAGACCGAAATTTCTAGGTTTTGTATGCATCAGTTTATTGATGATGCTTGGATCTTATCTATTATTGACTGCTATTGGAATGCTCTATAGATGATGGATGCATTTATGGAAAGCTGCATATTTAGGTGACATAAGATGATTTGAAGAAAAGAGTATGGCATGATCAGCCTATGTGGGTTTCCTATAGATACTGAAGTCGAAGTGGTCATTTAATCTGGTGATGGTGAGATCATGAATGATCTTAATTGATTAAAATGACTCTACTTTCATGGTAAACTTGATACTGGGGTGAACTTGGTTGATTTTAAAAAATACTTGATCAGCTGAGTTAGAAAATTCTTCTTAACGTGCCCTATCGTCCCCTTGACGTTAGCGATAACATGGCGAAACTGTCTCTGTCTTGAGCTATTCTAAAGAGTTGCTCAGATTTCCTTATTCCTGTCCACTCCCTAATATTCTTCAACCAAGAGGCCTGCTTTCTACCAATTCCTCTGCGTCCTTCGATTTTACCCATCATAATAAGTTGAAGAATATTATATCGGTCTCCCCTTACTACGTGTCCAAAAGAGACTATCTTTCTACATTTGATGTTATCAAGCAGCTCGCGAGCGGCATTTGCTCTCTCAAGGACTGCCACATTTGTCAGCATAGCCGTCCATGGAATTTTTAGTATACGTCTGTGCAGCCACATTTCAAAGGCATTCAGACGACTAATGGTGGATATTTTTAATGTCCATGCTTCGACACCGTATAAGTGGACAAACGAAATGTAGCATTTAATCATTCGTATCAGTTATCTGATACGAAATCTAAAAAGTTATCAACGTACCCAAAACCAATTTAGTATTTCAGAATTTTTGATGATTTGTGTGGATTATAAATAATCTATAAATACATCAACTAGAAAAAGGAAAAGACAACTACCCATAGTTAAACCAGCAGCTTGTCTGTAATGTTTATTGCTAAAAATTAAGAAATTTTGATCTGAGCAAGTTTGTAATAATTTGATAATAGAGTTGATAGTAAACAAGTTGATGGGCGATGGATGGATCGTAGAAGAGAGTGAACCAGAAACCAGATCATATGTTTTTTATTTAGGGACAGAAGTGAATAGATTTCTGATACCAAATAAAAGCATAGTAATATTGTGTCGAAGATTTAATTGTAAAGGTATAAAGGGGTAAAGTTCGTCACTTTGTTAATGATTCTTCTTCTTAGGGTGCCTGTCCTTTCCGAACGTTGGCGATTATTCTGACTATGATGATTTTATTGGTTGCTATACGAAATAGCTGCGTTGAGGTCTTTCTATATCATGCTCTCAGGTTAACAGGATATTCTTCTTCGTCCTGGGACTCTTTTCCTTCAATTTTACCCTGCAAAATGCATTGGAGTAGCTCCTATCTGCCTTAATTTCTCATTATATGTCCCAAGTACTGCAGCCTATGACTATTCACAATGTTGACCAAACCCGCGGTTGTGTTCATCCTCCGCAGTACTTCTTAATTGATGACTTTGTCTGTCCATGGGATCTTCCGGATTCTTCTGTATAACCATAATTCAAAAGCCTGAAGTTTTGTTAATGATATTCAGTAGAAATTTTGATAAAATAAAAACTGGGATGATGACAAAACTAACAACGTTACGAATAAGAATGTCCTTCTTATGTATCTTAGGTAAATCGTACAGTCTAGGAGTTCATGGGTTACTGGAGAGTTGAGATAATTGATTAGTTGCGGTTAAAATTACTTTATGGTAGCATAAGCATTGAAGTGGTTTCGGACTTTAACACTAAAGACACAAAAAACAGATGATACTAAGACAAGATATCAAAGAAAACTTTAAAAAAATGACGATATTGATGTTTTATTGAACTATTATTTCTAGAAGTATTTTTAGAGAAATTTTTTAAGAGATAACCGTCTGTCATGTCAAACAGGGTTACTGATAAAAGCTCTTCTAGATTCTTTCAAAAAGGTCATTGTTTGAGTACGTCAATTTACATAGTCTATGTAATTTTTACATAGATACAATGATTTTGTTTTTTCACTATCGATATGCGAGCAAAAAGTTTTTTTTGTCCAATGAAGAGTATAGTAATTTTTTATTACTTTTATACAATAACTGTAATCTTTTATACAATAACTGTTACATTTTTTGGTAATTAACTCATCTATAGGTAACCCAACGATGATCAGTAAATTGTAGTTCGCGCCATGTTGTCCAAAGTCTCTCTCTTCAATCCTGACCCACCAGGGGGAGTGTAGTGGTCGACGTAATGTCGTGTATTGTCCGTCTCCAGAGATCTCTGTCTCTGGTCATTTCTTTTAATTCATGCATAGGTCTGTAGCATATTCTTGTAATTTGATCTATCCATCTTGTTGGGGATCTTCCTCGTGATCTTCGGCCTTCTACCTTTCCTTGTATTATGAGTCCTTCGATGTTTTCTGTGTTTGCTCTTATAACATGCCCAAAATATTTTAATTGTTGGAGATGGACTTTACTAGAGAGTCGTTGGCTAACTTTTAGCTCTCTTAAAATTGAATTATTTGTTCTACGGTCGGTCCAAGGAATTAGTAACATTCGTCTCCAACAGAACATTTCAGTGGCGTCTATCTTTCTTCTCTCCGATTGTCTCAGAGTCCAAGATTCACATCCGTAGGTCAGTATTGGAAATATTAAGCAGTTGATCAACCTCATCTTTATCGGTTTTGAAATCTAACAGTCCTTCCATATTTTGGTCATTTTTGCTGTGGCAACTTTTGCTAGATTACATCTACGTTTAATCTCTTCTTGTAATGACCCTGTGTTTGTGATTAATGATCCCAGATATAAGTATGAGCTCACAACCTCGAACCGGTCAATTGTGGTTATGTGTGGATGATTGTTGTGTAGTCTATCCACTATCATGATCTTTATCTTTGATATGTTGTTGTCCAAAGTAGAATGAAACAAAATGTGAGTCTTTTCTTTTCTTTCTTCTACTACTGTTTGTAACAAATGAATTAGATATTCAGTTTTTGATCAATTTATTTTTAGTCTCATTTCTTTTGATTTTGTATTTACGTTTAGCAGCATTTTCTGAAATTCGAATCTATTGTCACTTGTTTAGCAAAACTAATGAAATAAAAACTCCAATAAATTAATAGAAATAAAATTTTCCATCGTTTCATGGAACTTCTGGCCTTCAAAGCTACAACATCAAGTCCTAATAACACGTCTTAGATTAGGACACACTTCTACAACACAACATAATACTTGTTGAAGAGAGAAGAGGAACCAGTTTGTTTTGTTTGTGAATTTAAAGTGACAGTAAAGCACATTTTGATTGACTGCTCAATATACTCAGTTGAAAGACTATATTACCACATTCCAGAAACATCAAAAGAACTTTTAGGAGAATCTCAATACGTAGCTGACTTGATAGAATTCTTAAAATCTATAAACTTTTTAAATCAAATTTAACACAAGTGGTTAAACCACTTATGTTAAATTTTATACAAAACGCAAAATAATTTAAAAAAAGTATTAATAGAATAATATTATAGTATTATATCAAAGACGTATTCTAAAATATTGAGATAAATACAGTGATCCAAAAATAATATGAGGCGGTGTCAATCAAAATCAGTCATGTCCATAAAAATCAAAAAATGAGTTAGCAGCTGTTTCATAATATAAAGAGTGAATCCTATTCTATAGTGTTTTCGGTTTCGGTTAAAAAAAATCATGTCCTGTTTAAAATGAATACACAATATTAGGTTCCCAAATCAAATGAAATCATGTCCACAGTAGGTTTCAATCGTACCACCACATGTCCATTCAGATAATAGGATTGCCCCGATTTGGTCACGTGATTTGACCATGTCAACACATTGTCTGTGTTTTCCCTCTAGGTTATGTCGATAGCGAGTATTGAGTTTGTATTGCACTGTGGTTTAATTTTAATATTATTATAGTAGTTTTTATTAAATAAAATTGAAATTTTCCATGGATGAAGAAAACTTAGTGAGAGTGGGCGATGCCAATGAAGGATCTCGTAAAAATAAAAAGACTGTGGATAAAAAAACTAGAGCCAAGCTTAAACGATACAGTACTCCAGTGGGATGTCGTGTGTTTGTTCCATGTAAACACATGAACAAAGGTATGAAATGTGCATTAGTTAGGCCTATAGATGCTATTTTTGTTCGAAATATCCTCTACAAAATACCTGACAAAAACACGCAAGATAACACCATTGCCAGTTGGATAAATCAACGTAATATAAAGCGGCGAAGGCCTAGGCCTACCTCTGAAAAATCAAAGGCTAAAAGTTTTAGTGTACAATATTCTATACTTTCATCAACCGGTAAAGTTATACCTGTGTGTAGTAAACTTTTCATGCATATTACCATGGTGAAGGGAACAAGATTGACTAATATTTCTAAAAAGGTGAAAGAGGGAA